CATCACTAGTGACTATTAATAAACTGCCATAAAAAATTGTGCATACGTGTGAAATATATCACGTATAGCTGTTTTTATCCATGTTTAGATCTTCAAGATTAACTAAAAGATTTCTCTCTAGTCGTTAAGAGAAAAAGTATTGTTATGATAAACGCAATCATACATTAAGATATTATTGTCAAATAATGAATTTTAGTCTATTTTTGTTTTATGTATGTATGTGTATAATTGCTAAATATATATGAGTTGATGCAATATTATTCAACGCCAATAGCTTAAAACTTTATAAATTTAATGTGTTTATGTATAAATGTGCTTAAAATATTTCGTTGACATAAAAAAATAGAGAAATTATTTTTCTAATTTGCATAGGTTTTTTAAGTACAATGAAATGAATTACTGGTATTAAAATATTTCTCAACATGATACTAATGAAAACTAAGAACTCGAAGAATTTGTTTTTTTTTATAATTTATAATTTAATACTTTCTTATTTGAGTGATCAAATAAATTATATTTCTATTTGAACGATACTGTTTTTTTTTATACAGACACTGAGTTAGAAAGCTAGGAAGCTGTATTTTTTTTTCTTCTCTAAAAACACACCGGTTTTAAAAATTAAGTAGCTTCAAAACGCCTTTACTCAGGAAGATCCCAATCCATATCTTCCAAATTTGTTAAACTTGTAAAATCTTCGTCATCGATACCGTGCCATTCATAAATATTCCATGGATACGTGCACGTAATATCAGTGCGGGTTGGCGAAATTCCCTTAGGGACCCCTAGCGAACCGTGAGGTCAAAAACGAATGACGCGTTGTAGGTATCCCGATTCGGAACTTGAGCTTGAAACCTATCAAAGTCTAGAATTACCTTATTCATGAAGGACGATATTTACTGAATATTTTACTTATGTTTAAATATATACTAAACATGAAAGTTATATAATTAGGTTTAGAGCGATTTGAATGGGGTAGCTGACCGACAAGTCAAATCAGTATATTTTTATTAAAACACAAAAATATAGACGATGTTTACGTATGAAGTATCTTATACGTAGCTATTATCAAGTCGTTTATATTTAATATCGATTCGAGAAAATATCATCCAATACAATGCAGGCTTTACTTTAAGATGTTACATTTAATGATTGATGCCAAAAACAATATTTTAACCTAGGAAGGTACCCTACGATATTATCAGGTTTAAGATCATTTATTTCTCACAAACAATAACATTAACTATTCACTTACAATGAGAAAAACAAATTACAGTTACATTGATTTCGCTGTGATACAGATAAAAGTAATTGAAACAAAATAAAAACAAAACAATTTCTTACACAAATATATTATGTATTATAAATGTCTGTATACATACATTTATACATCGGAACATATATTTTTCTTTTACTATTCAAAAGTTAGAGTCATATTACAATCGCTGTTTATGCCGTTTAGTCATTTAAAATTTCAAAAAAATGAACGGTAACTTTATAAAAGTGTACAGCAAGTTTCCCAAAAGCTTTAATACTTTAAAAGTATGAAAAAGGTAATCCTATAGGGTTGTCTGTTGCCCATTACTTTCAACTTTGTCTAACAGGTAAAATGACGCTGTTAAGACTTAAAGTCATTAACTTACACATCACATATTTTGGTACACTTCAAAGGGTAAAGCTTCTTTATATTATAGAGGTTTTTTTTTTTAAGACAACTCCCGCACTAGCAATATATCCTGTGTTGCGGAGGACTTTACAAACATACATGAAACTGACACCAAAGCACCCAGACTCAGAACGACAAGTGGAGATCTCACCCACAACACTCAGAGTAGTAGGAAGCGGCGTGGCGACCGCCTAAACCACTACGACATCCGTGCACTCGAGAGTTATGGGGGTAGCACTAAAATTGATTATGGGGCATTGAAAACCCCTCACGAAATAACGAGGCAAGTAGTGCATGTATCTACATGAACCTGAGAACCTTATTTACCTGTTAAAATAATGGTATGGTACCTAATGGTAAGTGATTACCACCGCCAATGGAGAGCTACAACTCAAGAGCCCCAAATGCGTAGCCGGCTTTTGTCCAAGAATCAGAGGAGAGTGTTACCGGTGTTAATCAGTTTTTTTTTTCAGTTTTCCTTGCTTTCACCGAGTGGGTGAAAGCAAGGAAAACTGAAAAAAAAACTGATTAACACCGGTTTTCTGTAAGGCCGTGATAGCATTCCGGTCGAGCCTGGCTAATATTTATATATTTATTTCGATACATTTACAATATTCTTACATGAATATATTCCCAGGGCAATGTTGCAAGCTTATAACTAATTTTCTAAATGTTTAAAAATCTAAATAATATACCTCAGCCTATGCTTGTCCACTGCTGGACATAGGCCTCTCCCAATGATTTCCAGCGGGGACGGTTGATTGCAAAATAATATAATTATATATTTTATTTTGAACAAATTAATATAATAGAAATAATGAATATAAATTATTTATATGTCAGAAATAATGCAACTTTACGCTTTATTTTTCGCAATAACGGCGAGCGAGAAGAAGGAAAATTTGAGCATGTTGGTCCTCGCCACCGGCACGCTGCTGGGTGGCGACGCGCTATATGCCGAAGCATGGCTCTCCCACGTAAGTGATATAATACATATATAATAATTTTATACAGTTGTGACCGTGATTTTTACCAATGTGTTCCCATTAGTGAAAGTCATGGTCAGTTTCAACTGCAAAATTTGTACAATTACCAACTAACACATTTCAGATGTTTTCTAAGTTGTCCTCTCTAGTATTAAAAATATCCTAAAACCGTTTGCTGTTTCAAGTTTGTTCGCTGTTCACATAAAGTGAAGACGTGATGTCTTTACCTTGTTATGGCTAACAGTAAATCTTACTGGTGCTGCTTTCTGGGTCCAGCACATACAAAAGCTTACATAGCCTTTTGTCCGGCACATTCTGCTAGGAATCATTTTCAGAAAGGTGTTAATGTGGTTGGTATATGTAGCATATATAGATGTCGCATTAACGTTATTGTCTTGAGATAATGAAATGTCTAATGAGATATTTGCTTCCTTTATAATACAAAATACCGTACCAAGTAAACGTATTTCTGTTTCGTGTTTCTGATTGTATTTTCCGGGTTGAAACTAATGGGGTAAAATTATGTAATTATAAAGTTTTATGGTATATCCATCCATTACACCCAGAAAAAACAAATCGTTGATTAGAACACGAACTCAGTACTGAAACAGGTTTAGGTAGCTATAACTGAGACATACCCTTAGTGTTTAAAATACTTAACACCACTATTAACTACAGCAATATTTTCATTCGCTAGTTTATGTATGAAAGTAGAAACATAATAACACAGAAAGAAGAAGTAAAACAAATATCAAAACTACAAAAAAAAAATAATGGGTGCAATATGTGTGAGGACTCTATAGCGAACATAGTGGTGACTGCAATAAAACTAACCTCACAGGTCTCCAACTATTTTCTATCATCAGAGGAAGCTATTGGAAAACTTTTTCGATCTCGTGAATAGTACGCCGTACGTGGGACATAAGCGGTACAGATGAGCTCCCTTTTATTATTCCGCACACAATGCTTAGACAAGCTCGACTGTTTTATTGTACCGCTTTGATACATTTAAATTGATTACTATTTGTTCCTACCTAATGCTGTTTTTTATTACTTGCGTATCTAGGTATAAAGTTTAGAGGTAAAATAGATTTGATAACGTCGTTGTAACGTTTGTGAGTTACTAAGGTTTATGGCTGCGTTACATAATGTTACAAGGGATTTATAATACTAGAATTAGATAGTTACTTCATTCAAGTGGCCGGTCCGCACGGTTACAGATAGCCCCGGATAAAGCTGGCCCAATTGTGACTAATTTTGTAGTCAACATAAAATCAAAATCTGTCTACAAAAGCTAGGCTTTCTCAATACCAGGTAGTTGGCATCGGCTAATAAATATGAATTCAATTGTAGTCCTAATCATAGCGCAAAACTTATAAAACTTCATACACGTCTCCCTCCCCTCCTGAGAATACAATCGTAAACGTAAACAAATAAATGGTGTTTAATTTAGTGAGTGTATCACTAATTTACCTATACGTAATTTTGGAAGCGTCCGTGAGTGGTAAACTATTGAAAAACTTATAAAAATAATTACATTTTCTAAAGTGATTTAAATAATAGGTAAGAAGATAAATTAATATTGATAAGAAAATTCCACCTTCTAAATCTTCTTATAAACTAAACATATATAAACACATGTGAGCATAGTACATTTACTCATAGAATAAAGGGATTTTGGGTCATTATAAACTGTAAGCAGTGTACAGCGTCATCACTAAAAGGGTTAACAAAAATAAACTAAAATGAAAAATTATACCTAATAAAATTGTTACTGGCATTCAGGTAAAAATAATTTTATTTACCTCGTGTAATAAACACTAGGGTATTCCTAATGAGGTATTGTTACTTAGTGAGAGGAATATAACGAATAAGAATAATGAGGTAAGTTGATATTATATGTACATATATATATATATATTGAGTGATGTACGAATATAAATAATGATTTTGTAGTACAGCCACAAAACTTGAATAAAATCTGTACTTTTGTTAAGGAGTCAGTCACGATAATATAAACTGTTCTCGCCAGAAAAGGTTTAAATCAAGATATCTGTCTGTCTGTCTGTGTCCGTTTACATTTTTTTAATATTTCAATGTCTGTTTTGAGACGTCTCGAGCAGTATTTTGGTCTATTTACTTCAACTATACCAAGATTATAACAAAAGGTAAGGACGACGTACGGAATATTAATCTAGGACTTAGCTTCCAATTTCTGCGTCCACTGTGTTCATCGGGACTTATTTGTAGCTAGGTTGCTTACTATATCAGGATCCTCCACTTTGTAATGACAACGGTAACAATAGTGTATTTATATCTACCCACGTTGGATGTGCTCTCACTGCGTAAAAATGTCGTCGAATACGTTGAAATGTAACGTGTGTAATATTGTGATTGATGAGCTTCTGGCGTATATACAGAACAAAATCTCGGTGTCCGACGAGGCAACAATAGTGAAGATATGTCCATCAACATTTATGAGTGCAGAAATAGCAAAATCAAACAAGTTCCTGCTGGAATCCCTACCGTCTGAACTGAGGAAATCAAATAGAAAAGGAAAGGGTAGGGAGGACCGTATGTTGTCCGATATAATAGGCGTATTTAAAGGAACATACATGGAAATATTGCCAGTGTTTGTAGCACGCGAGTTGGAAAAATTACCACCTCTAACTGTTGATCACTTAGATGTCAGCAAACTCCTTAAAAATCTGGCTTTAGTGCAGATTAAGGGGTCATATGTAAAATGGAGTCAAATAGAAGACATTAAAAATCAGTGTAGTGAGAAATAATGGACGAGCAGACCTACTAAAGCGTTCTTTGCAACACATAAGGGATTTGTGTGAAAGCTGCGATTTAATAGTCTTACAGGAAACCTGGTTATTGCCGAACTAAATGACTACTAGCGAAATACTATTAGCGAAGATACTTCAGCGCGACAGGGGTACCAGCAGTAGACCTGACCAACGGCGTCTTACATGACGGTCGTCCATATGGAGGTGTTGCGTTGTTATGGAGGCGGAAAGTTTTTCATCAAGTAACCGTCGTTCAGCGTAGTAACCCGCGTATCTACGCTGTGAAAATAATGTCGAAAGATAAAGCATTCCTAGATGAGTGTTTACACGCCTGTCGGTGTGATTGTAAATCTTGCGGATTTCACGGACATCCTTAGTTCTATCACGGACATACATAGTAAGTGCTATCATAGATAACTGTGGCGTCGATTGTGTGTACATATTGGGAGGTTATAATGCACATCCCACCGAACTGTTTTATAATGAACTTATTAACTTTTGTGCGGATCGGACATGGTACATGGCGTAGATATTGATATGTAAGGTTCGTTATGGGAAACATACACATTTTTAAGTAAGTCACACGATTCTAAACGATGTCTCGACCATTCTCTTGTAACTCAGGCTGCTGTAAATGCAGCTAAAAAATTTATCTGTATTGTAGGATGTTCTATAGTCCGACTACTTTCCACGTGTCATAGAGTGTAATTTAAATATATTATCACCAAAATTCATAATGTTAGTTTTTCTCAAAATACAGCCTTATGGGGCGAAAGAGGTGTACAGGAAATATAAATATATCAAAATGAATGTAATTATAGACTGAGACATATAGCTTGTCTACAAGAATTGACTAACTGTTGTGATAAAACGTGTAATGATATTACTCATAGATATACAATTGATAAGCTTTATGTTGACGTTGTGAACGCGCTAACTGAGGCGGCCAAGGTGGGTCGCGGAAACAGCAAGCGTATACGAAAGAAACATATTACAGGATGAAACAAACATATCGCTGGGGATCACAGACAGGCTAAACAATCATTCTTGATTTGGAACTGGCACGGTAAACCTATCAGTGGTAAAATTTATGCAGATATGTGTGAGTCCAGAAGAATGTTTAAAGCTCTTCCAAAATAGTGTTAGGATCACGAGCGACAAATTAAATAAGATATGCTGGCAGCGAATCATTCAAACAATGATTTCCGCGCTTTCTCGAAAAAGCTGAATGCAAAGCTTTAGAAAGTTATTGTATATCGTCTCTACTAACATAGGATAAGTTTTATGTATTACTAACAAGCAATGAGTCATGGTTACTATAGTTAAAATGATTATTTTTAAACCATAGCTATTTAATTGGACTGTATTAGCTTCTTGCCGAAAAAAGGTTCTATATTTTTTCTATACAAGTAAGTTAATTATGTTAAAAGCAAGCCTACTGGATGAATGAATATGATTTATAATTATGAATACAACAAACACAGTAGTATTAACCCATTAGAAGTCACTGTACTCTATTGAGTACAGCCATATTTATAAATTTCAATTCAAAAACTTGTAAAATTAAAGGGGGCTACTTTGTTATTTTATTTAATTATAATACTGTTCATTGTGATTATTTTTGCCAAAAAGTGGGTTAATATCAGATTTATAATAGTATCACTTGCTAATTGACTTGGCTGCACATATGGTGTAGTGGTTTAAGCGGTCGCCACGCCGAGTCCTACTACATTGAGGGTTGTGAGTTCGGTCCCCACATGGGACGACACTTTGTGTGATCGAAAAATTTTCGTTCTGAGTCTAGGTTTTTTTGTGTCCGTTGTATGTATGTTTGTAAAGTCCCCCGCGACGCAGGATATATTCCTAATGCGGGAGTTGTCTTTAAAGCAAAAGAACTTGCTCTCTGACAACTCCACAACTCAAGATTTACAAGTACGTTCCTGGACTTTGATTGAAGGTCATATTAATATTTATAATCTTTAGGACCAAAATTAAGAGGCAAAATATAGGCACTTCTGTCTACTCCTTTCGCGATATATATGTGACTTTATATATGTAGATATATACGTTTATTCAAAAGATAAAGTCTAAACTACATAAGTTTGTTTTTTTTTTGGTAAATGGCTATAAAAACACATTTTACTCTGCATAGATGCTAAGCCCAAGCTTACCTAACCAAATATTTTTCCTTCAGAATAATGAATGAATGTATAAAAAACCAGTAATATTTAATTACTATTAAATACTACTTATTATTACTTTACTTATTTTTTCTTTTTATTTTTATTTATTGTATGTAATATTTATATAATAACTCAAATATTTGAATATCGTTACGTTATTCTTATATGTATAAGCAATACACGAGTTACATAAACGGTGAATTCCATCGCAGTCTGGCAGGTGACTCGACACGTGTAGGTGTGTTATTATCGGCTATTCATTTGTGTCGATACTCGATACCTTGAATTGCATGCATCAGTATAATGTCCTATCTACATTACACGCTTAAGTGATCATTACGTTTCTGATTGCACTTTCCAATTCAAGACCGATACCATTAATTCTAATTAAACCAAGTAAAGGTATTTTTTTAATTGATATGCATAAGAATCAGTCAGAATCAATAATCATCCGTAACGCCAGATCACAAGGAGAGATAATCCAAAGTCTTCTTTTACATCATATTCTTACTTACTTATTATATAGCTTATGGTTGCAAATTAAACATAACGTATTCTTCTAAAGTATAAAGGTAATGAGGCGACCTGACTCATGCACAGACATAGGTAACATTATCAGAGCTGCCAGGCAACTGTTGTAAGTGATTAGTGTCATTAATTATTTTAGTAATAATTAGATACATTTACATGAGGAATTAAAAGGGGGGAACGCTCATCGCCCTCCACATTTAAATTAATTATTGTTCAATAGGCAGCAGAGTCTGTCGGGTTATAGGATTTTCCACTCTGATCCCTCATTACAACTGCTGCTTTTATGTATACTTTTTTAATAAAGATAAAAGCCTAAACTAAAACTAGACCGTAAAATGTACTTACTCATTAGTTACTAATATATAAATAAGAATACGGTATATGTCTCTAATTTATCTATACGGTGACTTAAAATATATGTGTATATGTATTAATATATATATTAAGTAACAGCTAAGTTTGTCTTTGCGAAAGCGTACAACATTTGCTAAGTTTTGAATCAGACAGTGTTAATATTTAATAGGTATAATTTTTATTTAGTTTCATTTTCTAACTTAATATTAGTAATAATCAAAGTTGAATAACAAATCAACAATGACAGCTCAGTAAGTATATACGTATCTATGTACGAGTAGTATGTATATGATTACTAGAAATTAAATATATCCCTTCTACACTGACATAGTTTTTTATTTTATTACTTTCTTGCTTATTTATGTCTGTTTAACCGAGACGCCTTGATCTTCTTTACTTTATTTGTAGAATATTGGACAATAATTATTAAAATTTATAGTGTGAGATTGTCGTACTATTCACGAAAATTATCGTAAACTCCTACACTGCAGTGAAATGTTTAATAAAAAAAAGTATGTAGGTTATTACAGCGTCTCTGTCTCACTATATTATATTAGCTTTCCTTCGAAATTATATGCCTCAACGCTACCCTTATACCCTTTAAAAAATGATTTGGAAAGTGCAAGTAATACTATAATATTTAACTATAGTAACATTATATGTTGGTCTCACTTGCAATATTGTCGGCAAACTTTGTATTAATACATTCTGTACTGTAAGCCACGTCTAATATTTACAGCAAAAACTAAATTTGGAATGCAAGGTGGCACAAACATAAGAATTTCACAATTTTCGCAATAAAAGTACAGTGCCAAAGTACCACTTAAAATGTATTTGACAGCCAAGGACTTAATGCTAAAATATAGCAGCGATTGTCCGAATATTGCAAGCCATTTCCCGTCCGTGAAAGTCGTTAACGAAATCTAACACATGCGGGACATCGTGTAATGTAAATGAGCTATTATGTAACTTACCTTGGGATAATAAGTGTTACTATCAGAACTTGCTACTTCGATTAGTCGAATCGATCTCTAACCATTTGTGAAATAGCAAAATCTTTCAGGAACGTTCTGAAAACAGCAAATCTTTTCACAATATGGAATAGTATTACGGGTCGTAAAGTAAGATGTTTCATTCTGAAACCTTACCTTTAGGGAGCCCTGTGTTCTTGGGAATGCCAAGTTAGTGGATGCCGTCGTTTTCAAACCCACTGGCGCAAATAACATTAGCATAGTTATCGAACGCGCCGGGATGAGACCTCCGTAAAGGTCCCGTTGGGGCTGGGACGGCTCTTAAACCCGCTTTTCCGATAATGACTATCGATGATTCTACCCTGAATGCGGGCCCGAGCACAATATTATTACGTAGTTTGGCCGTTGTGGGGAATTGCGAAATATAACATGCCGCGGTATTCAGTTATTTGCGGCAAGGAATTCCTGCCGTGTAACACAGAAATGATTGCTGTGTTTTTTGAGGGACATTCAATTTTTAATCGTCACAGCCAGTTTTGTTTTTGGGTGAAATGATGATACAGTTTTAATTACATATATTATTATTCTATATTAATTAAATTATTAATCTTTATTAAAATCCTAAAACAACTTAAAAATATTTAATATGAATATAAATTATAACCATCGATGCATTTTTGTGTACAAAAATCCACACATAGTATATTTAAGTAGAAAATCATCTTTTATAATTAAAGAAATTTAAAGGAGTTCTTAGAGCTTGGTTACACATTAGTTGACTAGAAAAACTAATAAAGTGTAATAGTTGCAGGGACGGAATCATGAATAACCTTTGAAATAACATTGTGACAACGACTTTAATAAATGTATTATATCTTATCTTGCAAGTAAGAAACAGATCAATATGTTTAACGACAACTTTTCAGGTTATTTACCATGTTGAACGATGATGAATGCT